GGCTCCAGGCTCCGAGCCATCAGCCCAGAGCCTGACGCGGGGCTCGAACTCACGGACCGCGAGATCGTGACCTGGCTGAAGTCGGACGCTTAACCGACTGCGCCACCCAGGCGCCCCCCCGCTCTTTCTTTCAAAATAAATAAATAAACATTAAAAAAATATTTTTTAAAAAGTTTGATAGCACATGGTGGAAGCAACCAGGCACGCTCTTAACATTGCTGACAGGGCTATAAACTGGCTCACTGACTATAGCTGGTAAAAAATGAACGCACATGTCCTTGGTGCTAGAGACTCTGCTTCTAGGAATTTATCCACCATAAATATTCCTCTTGTGTGAAATTATGCATGTGGAGGTTTTTTAATCCTCAGTACTGAGGATTAAATAATTTATGTGAAGCACACAGAACAAAGCCCAACGCTCAGTAAGGGCTAGCTGTCGTCAGTAGTAAAAGACTGGAAACAGCCCAACTGTCCATTAATAGGGGATTCATAAAATAAAGTATGATACAGCCAATCATTGGGATACGAGGCATCTGTTAAGAAGAGGCAGCTCTTGGGGCGCCTGGGTGGCTCAGGCGGTTAAGTGTCCAACGTCGGCTCAGGTCGTGATCTCACGGTCCCTGAGTTCGATCGAGCCCCACGTCAGGTTCTGTGCTGCCAGCTCGGAGCCTGGAGCCCGCTTCGGATTCTGCGTCTCCCTCTCTCTCTGCCCCTCCCCTGCTCGCGCTCTGTCTCTCAAAAATAAGTAAACATTAAAAAAACTTTTTAAAAAAAGAGGAGAAAGCTCTTTGTGTAGCGTGGATATGGACTGATCTTCAAGGGTAGTGTTAGGTGGGGAAAGCAAGGCACGATGCAGAGTATAGAGTATGCTGCCGCTTGTGTGGTAGAGGGACATTTCCTGGCCGTGGGTCAAGTATCTGTGGAAGGATAGCCAGGGCGGCCCCTGGAGAGACAAACTGAGTGGCTGGGGACAGGGTTGGAGGGGAAGTTTTCTCTGGATGACTTTTTGTACCTTTTGAATTCTGAACCCTTGAATACCTATTCAAAAGTTTAAAACAAAAATTTGAGGGGGTGCCTGGGTGGCTCAGTCGGTTAAGCATCCGACTCTTGATTTCAGCTCAGGTCACGATCCCAGGGTTGCGGGACTGAGCCCCCACATCAGGCTCTGCACTGAGCATGGAACCTGCCTGAGAGTCATTCATTCTCATTCTCCTTCTCTCGGTCTCTCTCTCTGCCTCTCTCTGTCTCTCTCTCTCTCTCTCGGTCCCTTCCTCCCTCCGCCCTGAGTGTGCTCACTCTCTCCCTAAAATAAAAAATAAATAAAAGAAAATTAGATTTAGTTATATTAAATTAAATTAAAACTCGAATTAAACAACCACTCTACCAGGGCCTAATTCGGAAAAGGTGCCAGTGTTGAAACTCAAAAAGGAATTTAGAAACAATGTGTGACAAATCCCCGTTAACTGCATTTTCCAATTCATGATCCTTTAATAACGCTGAAAGCCCTCAACTGTTAAATACAACGACAGCAATTCTTTAAAATATTTTTTTTTAATTTTTTTTTGATGTTTATTTTTTGACAGAGAGAGACAGAGCATGAGCAGGGGAGGGGCAGAGAGAGAGGGAGACATAGAATCTGAAACAGGTTCCAGGCTCCGAGCTGTCAGCACAGAGCCCGACGCGGGGCTCGAACTCACAGACCGCGAGATCATGACCTGAGCCGAAGTCGGACGCTCAACCGACTGAGCCATCCAGGCGCCCCTAAAATGATTTTATATGCAACAGAAACACATCACAGTGAGAAAAACAAAGGTTTAAGATGGCTGGCAACCTGAGGAAAACGTGCAACGTTCTGTTACACAGGAGTAGGACACGCTTTATAAATCTGACTGGGAAGTCAGAGTTAACCACACAGAACAAGCACTAAACTCTTGCTTCTAACCCTAGGGGGAGGTTCACTGGCATACGTCGGAGTGCAAGTTTTGCTAGCTCTCCATAATGGCTCAGAATTCTTATCCTTCTCATTTCGAAGCTTTCTCTCTACGAGTTGGATACGTACACCTTTTCCCATGAATTATGAATAGGCTGTCTATCCCCCAGTCACCATTAAAGAAAAGAAGTGTTTCGTTGGCTTTAGCACTTTATTATTTCTTTTTTGTAGCCCCGTTCCCATTTCGCACGTACCTTGGCTAAGATATAAATTGCCTCCCGAACTCCAACCAATGGAAACCGGAGAGGAATTAGCACCAGGTCACCAAGGGCAACGTTAGAGACTTTGCCAACAAACATAATGAAGCCTAACACCTGCCTCTAACTGATGGTTTTCCAGAGACTAACGCTTTCTCTTTGCTTCTGTCCATATCGCAAAATGATAAAGTGCAAAAATTCTGGGGAGAGATGATATACTAAAGCCGGTAAAGCCTCGCTACAGATCGGTTGAGGAGGTCGCTTTCCCCAAATCAAAGACACACCAAGTCAAAGAATGTCAGCTCTCAGCCGTTCTCATTTGACCCAAGAGGAGAGCGCGCCCAGGAGAGTTAAGGGACTTACCCGAGGTTGCACAGGGTACTGGTGGCGAATCTCTGGTCCTCAGACCCACACTTCCCTGTACAGTAACCATCTCCTCTGGGTCTCATTCCCAAAGTCCTGCCTCCGGTGCGCTCACTGTCACAGGTGCCCTCATCTCTACAAAAGCTCCCTGCTTTTCCAGGAGAGAAGAGCTCTCAAAAGGAGGATCCCAAATTCAAGTCCTGATGTGTGTGTGTTTCCTTTTCAGTTTTACAAAGAAACCGAGAGCCGATTTCACTTACTAAGTTGAGCACGCTTTCTTTTCCGGGTTATGACAGAACAGTTACAGCTGTCAGTAGCTATTCACTAGGGCATGGGTACCCAAGGTTTATTTTATTCTTCCTCTCTGGACACCAAAATGTTCTGCATTCTTCAAAGCCTACTTCAGATTTCCCCTTTGTGGTCTCCCCTCTACGTCCCTGATCTATACAGATCTCACTGATTTTGTCACGTGATCTTTTACTGTACTTACTGTAGTCGTGGCATATCCTGACATTGGCTTTGTGTGGATTACTTCTGACGGCCCAGACTTCAAGCATAATGCCATATTGTGTTTCTGTGGGTTTTTTGTCGGCTTGGGTTTGGGGGCATCCTACATGGACCCAACCTCGGGCACTTAGCAGCTTTGCCTACGGGCGTCTACTGATAACAGTCTCCCCCATCAAGGAACATTCCTGTACCTCACAGCTGAGCGCACTTTGTCCATAAAAGACAGGGAAAGGATCCCAGTTAAGGGAGCAGTAAATCTATGGTGGCTGCTTGCCAGGGGTTCAGGTGAGAGAACAGAGAACACGCGCTCCCAGCTGTCTCTCCCCACACCTCCCGCCCGCTCTCCTGCCCCTCTCCCTTGTCATCAGCCCTGGCCCCTCAGTGGCCGCCTAGGTTCCCGAAGAGCCCCAGCCTTACGGGGAGACAGTGCAGCTGGCAGCTGGCGATGCAGGAACGGCCTTGTCCTTTTCCTCTGTACAAAGGCACAGGGATACGACCATGAACGAAAATCTGAAAGAAAATCCGATGCCTGTACACCACCTTGTGACCAGTTTGTAAACTACTCTCTCTCTCCCTCCCTCTCTGTCTCTCTCTGTCTCTCTGTCTCTCTCTCTCTCTCTCTCACACACACACACACACACACACTCACACAAAAGTCTAAACACATAAAGTCCTCACATACTCTCCACTATCAGTCCAGGGAGACCGGCACCCCCCACAGTGTGATTTTTTTTTTTTTTTTTTCTGTTTTCCTCCCTTTCAATTGACCAGAAGGAAAAGAGAAGACTCGGAGAGAAGTGGGAATTTCCAAACCTTTGCCCACTACAGACTCAAAATGGAGATTGCAGACAGAAACCACTTTAAAGGCATAGTGTCATTTGCACCCCACCTTTTTGGGGGGACACGGGAGGCTGTGAGAAAATCAAATGGAGTAAGTGGCCCTTGGGGATTCTTGTGCAGAAAGTGGGTTGAGGTTTGAAACGGTTAAGGATAACCTGAAGCAGACTTCCCCAGAAACAAGTGAAGTGACCCGTCTGCTTGGCTCCAGTGTACCAGCTACGGACCCCCTCTCTCCAGCTCTCGTGTTTACTCTGATCAGGGTTCTGGCTCCACCCCTGGGCCCGCTCCCTTTTATCTGGGCACAGGAACTATCTCCTTCTGCCATATTTGGTGCAGGCCTGCCAGTGGCCAGCTAAATACTAAACAGTTAAGAGCAGTGAGTTCTTTTGCTCTAGTCTCGCCAGTGTTAAAACCGCTTCTTCCTTCCCATTTCATCGACTCGGCTCTCTTCCTCTTTAAATTTCCAGTACTGTCTGTTAGGATTTTTAAGGGCTGGTACATTCCTGAAGTCAGGTGTTTCACAGGCACTGTTCTGCTGTTCACTATAGGTTAAATGGTTCATTGTACAAATATTAGGCTATTTGGTTTTTACACATTTTCTAGGTTTTCCACGTACTTTGAGGTCTTACCGAAGTAAGACTTCACAGCAGTCTATATACTGTAAAAGTTGAGTAGTGTATGTTTTGAGATTAAAAAAAATAAAATAAAGATGCCCTCCAGTAGCATCTTTTTAAAAATATTTTTCTTAGGGGCGCCTGGGTGGCTCAGTCAGTTGAGCGTCCAACTTCAGCTCAGGTCATGGTCTCGTGGTTCGCGAGTTCAAGCCCCGCATGGGGCTCGCTGCTGTCGGCCAAGACCCCACTTCAGATCCCCTGTCCCCCCACCCCTGCCCCTCCCCTGCTCACGCTCTCTCGAAAATAAATACACATTTTTTTAAAGAAACACATTTTTCTTAAACTAGTTATTTCCAACTTTGTTTTACAAGATCTCAAGATCTTCCGTTATTTCGAGATGTATGTGCAATTCTCAAAGCGAAATCCCTATTAATCCACATTAATTACTTCGTTATATGAAATACCTATGTTGCTACCTACGGCACTCTCCAACGTTTTAGAGTCACAAAGTCATTCAAGGACCATTAACTGAGCACTTATTATACGCTAGGCACTGTGCTAGGGAAGGTGGAGCAAGGATGGAAACATGGTCTCCGCCCTCGAAAAACTCCGTCTAGCACAAAAACCAGATATACATAGTAATTAGGGTATCATGTGACCGCGTTAAAATGCCGGTGGATTAAAAAGCTCTAGGGGCCTAAAGAAAGTGACGGTGTGCCTTAAATAGGAGTCTGCAGTGGGAGTGGAGAGGGGGGGGGTGAGTTCCCGGAAGAACATGTGTCGAAGCACGAAAGGGACTCTTAAGATGAAGCTCTGGCACTGCGTGTGGTTAAAAAATAGCATGTATGGGGGAGTGGCAAGGGATGGTGAAAAATCCTGTAAGCCACGTTCGGGGGTGTAGACTTGATCCTGGATGCCCGTGGTTGTCAACATGTGGTACTGGACCGGCAGCAGCTTCACCCGGGATCTCGTTAACAAGGCAAATTCTTGGGTCCCAAGCTAGACCTACTGACCCAGAAGCTCTGGAGGTGGGGCCCGGTCACCTGCGCTTTCACAAGCCCTCCGGATGATTCTGACGCAGGCCGCGCTTCGAGAACCACGCTGCAGGCGATGAGAAGGTGCTCTGACGGGTTTGGAGCAGAGAACTGCCTGGGTAAGATCTCAAGCAGGAGCACCGGTTGCCGCCGCCGGGGCAAGCACGGCTCCCAACTCCGGAGTAGTTACAGGAAAATACAAACAACGCTTGAAAATACAAACAACGCTTGAAAATACAAACAACGCTTGAAAATACAAACAACGCTTGAATGTGACATGAAGAGACGAGGGCCCAGATGAAGGCAGTAGGAATGGAGAGGAAACAGAGCTTAGAGATCTTTTACGGGTGGCCCAGATTCAATCAGGTGCCGAGGCTATATCCATACAAAGGTGTGACTGAAATGGTTTTTAGATAAAAGCTGCAGCCTTGCCGGAGGGATCAACCACTCACTAGGCGTTTCCTGAAAGAAGTGTTCCACACGGTCCCTAGCAAAAGGGGAGGTGGAGCGCAATGTCTGTGTTTCCAGTGGCAAAAACAAACGGTGCCCTGGCTTCCACGCGAGTCTTCCGGTCAGCTGGGCAGTTTGACTTCTCACTGGAAGTCAGTAAACTGGCATTCATAGTAACATAAAAATCTCTTGTGAGTTTGGTTAGTGTGAATCCAATCCTTGAGACTGACTGACAATTTCTGGATGTGCTGGCAAAATTAAATTTCAAGCGCTGAAAAGCTGAAAGTAGGCATCGGTTCCGGTGATCGAACCAACCAAGGCACGGACGAGGTGAGACCCTGCTAGAGCCTTCTTTTCATCCTAACTTCATCACTGATCACACAGTCCACTTAATTCAGGAAGAAGCTGGAATGAATGAAAGAATCACTTTGTACTATGCCCGGAAGGTCAAGAAAGTCGGGTGTACCTGTTATTTCTAACTTTGGAGGCAGGATTTAGCTGAGGCTAAATCTTCCATTTCCTGATCGAGAGGTGAGAGGGACAACCCACATGGCTAATTTACCTAATGAGAGTTTGAGCACAATTCCTATTTCTACTAGGACTCTGGATACCTCTCATTATGTACCGTATGTTTTCCAGCTGATATCGATATCTTGGCTTATTTGACCAACTTATTTTGTCCAAGAATAGTTCCCGATCAAAAACTGCACTGTTTTATGGAAGTTGAGAGCAATCAGGCACCCTGGAGATTAAAACAAAACTTTCATACTATAGATGAGGAAACAGAGGGCCTCAAAGAGCAAATCACTTCATCTATTTATTGTAGGGCAAGCTTTTCCAGAATACTACAAGGTGGCAAAACAAGATTCAGAGCAACACGGATGGATAATCGGTTCGTGTAAATTTTAGGCAACATTTAAAATTCCTTGGGGCGCCTGGGTGGCGCAGTCGGTTAAGCGTCCGACTTCAGCCAGGTCACGATCTCGCGGTCCGGGAGTTCGAGCCCCGCGTCGGGCTCTGGGCTGATGGCTCAGAGCCTGGAGCCTGTTTCCGATTCTGGGTCTCCCTCTCTCTCTGCCCCTCGCCCGTTCATGCTCTGTCTCTCTCTGTCCCAAAAATAAATAAAAGTTGAAAAAAAAATTTTTTTTAAATAAATAAATAAAATTCCTCTATTTTCCATCTTAAACGTTTTAAAAACAGAAAACAAAGAGTAGCAAATTACTTACTTTATTGGGCTATTAGAGGATGGGGAAGCTTTTCTTGTAGTTTCTCGTTTTCAGAAACTAGAGTTAAATGTCAAAACTTCAGGAGAAAAAAATTAAAAATTGGGGAAGAAAATGTGCATGAACAATTCAAGGAGAGAAACATGCATTCTTTTATAAGCTACCTGTTCTGTTTTCTGTCTTTGCCTACCAAGGGGTAACTTTGCACTGAATGTTGTCCATTACATCCAATTACATATTACTTGTAAAGGGAATCTATCACCACTACCCCTTACAGACTTGAGAAACTCCAGATTTTCCAACATCCTGGTATTTGAGTAAACCTTGTATTTTTGACAGCTCTAGAAATGCTTCAGAAACTAGTTTGATCTTGTATGCCGTTTGGGTATATAGACGTGAACAACTTGAAAGGCACATTTTGGCCCCGTTTCCTGTTTTCCAAACTTCCCACTGCTTTCTATCAAATATGTATGTAATCTAAAAGTTGGTGTTCACTCCCTGGTCAGTATCCTGTATATAGCATTTTACAGGCAGCTTTCCAAGCACTTAAAGGAAATGTGGACACGGTTTTCATCATCAAGAATGTATTAAATTCCAGGTGTGCCCTGGCTGAAAAAGTAGACTTCTCCCCTTCTGTCTGGAATTCACATTAAGAACGCAATGCATTCCGATAGAACAGGGCTGCTTTTTAGGCAAGATCCAAAGGATCCCATTTTCCAGGTCTGCGTCCATCTCTGATTCCCCTCAGAGGTCAACAATCGGGACCGTTTTTATTATTTGCCCTCTCGCTCCCCGCTGTGAGGTCTCTTAGACTCTACTCGGGCAGAAATGCAACTTCAGTCCGGAGAGGGCAGATGTCAGTTACTTCGAAACCGCAGAACATTGATTAAGGGCTGGAGGGCAGGAGAGGGAGTATCAAACGGTCCGTTCTAGGACTTCAGCTCCACCTGACTGGGGCCCAGCCTTTCCAGCCTTCGTCCCCACACCGGCCGGCTCCATGTGAAACCGGTCATGTGAGCCTGTTTACAGCCGAGCAGCTGGTGCAACCATCAGGATCCGTGCGGAGGTCCAGGAAAGGGGACGGATGCAGGCCACGTACCCCTTCCACTACCGCCCCCCGTCACTATTCCATGAAGGCGTTCGCTCTCCCTCCCTGCCTCGCCACCCCACTTTCACCTCCCTCCGGCCATCCCGGGACGCCTCGCTCCGGCCCCATCGATTTCCTTCCAGTTGCTCGCCGGGGGGGGGGGGGGGGGACCCACCGGGTGGGGGGGAAGGAGGAGTCAGGGCGAGGTCGGTGTCACCCCGAATGGGGAGTCAACCTCCCTCCCGCAGTCCTCCTCGAAACATCCGCCAAAGAGTTGTCCCTGGAGTCGCATCCCCGGGGCAACCGAACTCTGCCGGGCAGGCACCGGGAGGATCCCGAGCCTGCTGCCTCCGCCCAGGCACGAAAAAGGCACACACGGGCCGGCCCGACCCCGGAGCCGGGATCCGCGGGCGGCCGGGCAGCTGACAGTCAGAGAAGGGGCAGAAAGGACTCCATCTGCCCGCTCCCACCTCCCACCCGCATCCCGGCGCCGCGGAGCCCCGCCGTCAGTCACAGAGCCAAGCCCGGGGGTTGGGTACGGCTCATTCTTTGCGCGGGGTCTCGCGCCAACGTAACTTCCACGTCTTCCCGAAGTCGGAGGAAGTGGGTGACGGGACGGGGGCGGGGGGGGACTCACCTCGGCAACACCGGCTCCTCGGAAAGCAGCTGCGACTGCTCCTCCGGTCCTTTGTCAGCGTCTCTAAGCTGCACTGCCTGCTGGGATACCGGAGGACTCAAATGCCACCTCTCTCCGCCCTCGAGGATGAGCTGCGGTTGGGGGTGGGTGGGAAGAGGGAGAAGAGGTGGAGCCGGGGGCGGGACCGGAGCCGGGGGCGGAGCCTCCTTACTGCCACCTGGCCTCCGGAGTTTCTGAGTTTCTTCCTAATCCGCGCTCCAGATTTCTTCCTGCTGCCTAGGACCTGTCCTTCCTCTTCCCTCCCCTCCCCTCCCGCCGCCCCTTGAGGAGACCGGAGACTCTTACAGAGGGTCAGCTCATCTCTCTTTGCACTTGTCGGGCAGTCACGCTTGATTCCCTCCCCCTTCTTCCCTACACACACACACACACACACACACACACACACACACACATCCATCCATCCATCCATCCCGTGAGTACCCAAGGCTAATTGATTCTACCTCTGAGACACGTCTTATTGACCGCCTTTCTCCACTTTGTCCTCAGTGCTATGGGCTCCGTGCAGCCCCCATGACTTTTTGCTTTGGAGCTCTACAGTAGCCTCCCGGCTGGGGTCTCTCCTTCCACTCTTGCCTAGGCTCACGCCATCTCCCAGACTGCAACCAAAGGGATTTATCTTACCTAAGATGTATAGGTGACCTGTTACTTACCCGCTTAAAACCTTTCAATGTGTCGCAAGTCCCTACAATCCTTCAGCGTGGTATAGAAGGACTTCTGTAACCGTTTTCTGATGCGCACAATGCTCTAACCCAATAAACTAGGCATCCCTGGAAGACAGCGGGTCCTGGGACAGCACTGCCTGCCCAAAACACTCCCCCTTGAAAGGAAGCCACACTGTACTGTCCATAGGCCCCTTGAAATATCGTTAAAGATGGAACCCTCGGAATTAAATGTTAATGATGTTCAGAAAGGATAAGCAAGGTACAGCTGCCACAAGTTCTGATGCCTTTGCTTCTGGATTCCCTTCTCTCTCTTTGGAATGCCTACCTCTCTTTCAAGGCCCGGCAGAAATGCCACTTCCTCCAATAAGCCTTCCAGGATCTTCCATGAGAACTATTGATTCCTGCTCCATCACCGTAGAACGTTGCTTATTCTGCTTTGCAATTCTTCCTGACTTAGGCAATCACTGGTTGTGTATTATGTCTTCCTTTCTCTCCTACCTAGACTATGAATTCCTCAGAGTGACCCACAGCTGCCGGCACAATGCCTAATCCAGAAAAGACATCAGTACAATTGGATGAAATGATATCCTTCGACTCCACTGTATCTGAAGCCCAAAGTAGGCCCAGAAGGGAGCCTAGGCAAGGCTTCACTAGGACGTCTTCATCTTGACCCAGCCACATGTCATTCTGCAAAAACAAACTGGTTAGACAGCAGAGCATTGCAATTGCAAAAGGCCCAAAGCTTGTACTTCCCTTGCAGGTCAGACTGGTTTGTGGTATAATATGTGGTTGTGGAAAATGTAACTGGCACAGTTCACATGAGAATTCAGTGTAGACAAATTTCATGGTGACATAGAAAATAACAGTTTCCAGATGTAGAACTCTCTCCCCCTTTGGGAGGCTTTGGATTCCTATTTGCTTCAGGCTACCCTTGGGCTCTATATCCCTTCGGACTTTGAATACCGTGTTATAAAATATGCTGTTGCAAAGTTAGGCATCTGGCTTTGCGTTGTTCTTGCATCACTTAATGCGTATTTGTTTTTGCTCTAATTATATTACAAGCTACACTTTGGCGGGTTTCCTCATCCCTAAAATGGGGACAAGAATCCCTGGCCTACCCAGTTTACTAGGCTCTTAGGAGGTTCTAATGTGGTAACATTTATAGCAGGTGTGATAATGTAACTATAGGATGCTCTTCAAATGTAAGTTCTGTTTTATTATTAAAAACCTTTACACTCTACTACTTAGGTGGGTGTGTTTGAGATCCCACATTAGGAATCAAAGCCTTCATTGCAAATTCCTGAGGATAATGCTTTACTTCATGGTTTCCACAATTTGCCTGAAGGGAAGAAGATTCATCACCTGGAGCCCTTGTTAAGAACATTCCCAGAACCTACCCCAGATCCACTCAATAAAAATCCCCGGATAAAATTCTGCCCCAACAATTCTAAAGTGGGGGTTTTTTTTCAACACCACCAAAGCAATTCTCTGACACCAGCTGGGTGTCCTACAGTTCATCTCAATTCTGACACTATCGTGAAAATCATTAAAGGAAAACCTCACTTAGATGGAGTCGGGAGGTTTGGCAGGGGCAGCTCTCGCACCCTACCACTGTTGGTCAATTGTGGATCCAACGTGAAGAGGTGGACCTTGCACTGTGGCTACTACTTTACTATCCGGGCCAGAGGAAGGAAGGCTTCCTCCTCCCCCGGCAACAGCCCAGCCAATGAGAGACTGTTACAACACAGCCAATGAAAAGCCACTGTACTTGGAACTCCTAGTTTACTCCAATGGGCTTCTTCTTTACAACCGCTCTCCCAACTGCCCCCCCCCCCCCTATAAAAGAGCCTTCATTGGCTTTGTTCCTTAGACTTGCTTGCCTATGGTTTTTGTCGTGGCTTGCTTGTCCCGGGTTGCAATTCTCTGCTGTTCCTAAATAAGCCCACTTTTTGTTAGCAACATAATGGGTATTTTTATTTACTAAGGGTAACACTCTCCACCTGGGGACAGCGGCAGATCCCACAGGGTAAGGGCTCGGTCCCACAAGACTGCCCTCCACTTCAGATGCCAGTGGCACGTCCAGGTTGTTACCTATACTTCTTACTAACTGGCAATAAGTCAGAGGTTCCTGGGACCCCCTCCTTGGGTTCAGTTGATTCGCTGGAGCAGCTCACAGGACTCAGGAAACCAGTTTACTAGATTACCAGTGTCTTACAGAGGCTATGAGAGGATACTTAAGGTGAGGTCCTGCACAAAGTAACATCCGTACCTGTGGAGTTTCGGGCCCAGCGTGGTGACATGTGGAAGGGTTCCAGTTCACCAACCTGGATGCCCTCAGAACACTGTCCTTGAGGAGGTTTGTGGAGGCTTCATTGCACAGGCATGGTTGATTAAATCATTGGCTCGCTGGCCATTGGTGATTGATTCAACCTCCAGCCCCTCTCCCATCCGGAGAGGTCAGCAGGGTAGGACTGAAAGGCTCAACCTTCCAGTCACGTGGTTGGTTCCCCTGTCCTTAGTGCTTTTCCAAAAATTACTTCATTGACACAAGCTCACGGGTGGTTGAAGGGGGGTTGATAAGTATCAAGACACCTTTATCACTCTCATCACCTAGGAAATTCCGAGAGTTTTAGGAGCTTTGTGCCAGAATTGGGGAGGTAGACCAAATATATATTACTTATTATAACTCGCAGTATTACACCAGGAGAAAAGGTCAACAGTGCCGTCAGGAGTGACGCCAGGTGACTGGTTGATCCCCAGGCAGGTCTGGGAGACACAGCCTTTACCAGTTGTTCACCTATCAGAATGAATTGGTTTGGGACTCTTTCTGGGGCAGGTCTTTTCAGGCAGGGAGAAATCACAACTGGAGAAGAGCTTTGGAGGAGGCTCCAGAAGGACAGATTTCAGCCTGCGTCACAATTGTGCCTGCAATTTAGTATCGGCAAAACCTTCCCCTTGAAGTTCCTTGTCCTTGCCTGGAGTTCTAAGAAGCTGGCTTGGGGCCAGAGAGCTTGCAGCTCTTAAGACAACACTTAAGACAAAGTGTTACGCCTTTCATTTTGAGGCCTTTGTTGCCTCAGTCCAATTGGTGGTTTCCCAGAATTTTCTCAGTGCCACGGTGGTTTTGTGAACAACACTCCCTTTAGATCCCTCTCTTCAGACTTCCTTCCCCCCAGCTCCAGAGCTGAGCTCTTTCACGGCAGTTAAACACTGTTATTGTCATTGTTTTCCTGTTTGTCTCTGAGGTGAAGAGGGCTGGATTTGGTCCTGTCCATCCTTGCATCCAAAGGACGTGGCATTGTGCCTGATGTATTGTAAGTACTTATGTTGGGCGGATCTGTGAAATTGCTTACTGTCTGCTTCACGTACTTGACTGGGAGCTCATCGAGGGCAGCCACAAGTCAACTCTGTATCCTCACATCCTCGCCTCATGCCACACAGAGTCATCGGTCAGCAACTGCCTGTTCAAGAGCGAATGGTCTCCCTTTTGGGAGAGCCGAGGGTAACTAATTCGGGAGAGAGGCAGTCTGCTTGCTAGGCATTGGCACTGGCAATCTTGGGATTAGGACTCGGGGGAAACGGATTGCTCATAGCCTTTTGAGGTCAGTTTGAGAAAGGCCTTCTGAAAGGGGTGGGGAATACTGCTTGGCTCTCCCATTACCTTGAGACAGGGGCTGGGGCTGGAAGATGTCGCTAAAACAGTGTCGAACATCAACAAGGCTTCAACTGCATTCTTACCTGCTGACAGTCCAGACACATGGCAAATCCAGGCATACAAAGGCATTAAAGGCCATGCCTTTACTTCTAGACTGTTCAGACATAGTGTGTTGCTATTCCTTTTGGAAGCCTTTGCCCAGAGCTCCTCTCCTGTTCATTCTTGCCATAACTCATTTTGGAGAAAACAAAATAGGAATCCTAATAGCAGGCATTTGGTGGCAGAGAAGAGAGACAGTTTGAAAAAAAAAAGAAACTCATACAGCTAATTAGCGGGACAATGGAACTCAACGTTTTTATTTATTTTTGGGACAGAGAGAGACAGAGCATGAACGGGGGAGGGGCAGAGAGAGAGGGAGACACAGAATCGGAAACAGGCTCCAGGCTCCGAGCCACCAGCCCAGAGCCCGACGCGGGGCTCGAACTCACGGACCGCGAGATCGTGACCTGGCTGAAGTCGGACGCTTAACCGAATGCGCCACCCAGGCACCCCTGTGTGAGTTTCTTTAGCTGTATAAATCCCTTTCTTTATCCTGGGCCTCGAAATTCAGCCATCTGTACAATGAGGTTGTTGGGCTACAACGAGTCTGTGGCAGGCCTGGCCAGAAATATCTGCTCGAGGTCCTGGAAATAGACTTTTCTCCTGCCCTGAGTCCTCACCCAAACATACAGAATCAAGCACAGAAACATGGTTCTGTATTTCCCATCCCCTTCACCCAATGACCCATATTATAAAAATTACTAAGTTACCAATTAGTCAAGAACATTTATTGAATTGCCTGCTCGATGTCAACACTGCGTATGAATGATTTTGTTTTTTATTCTTGAAATGGCGGGGGCATTTTTCATGCTCCAGGAGCTTGTCGTGGCCTCGGTGACACCAAGAGGAGCCTGTGACTTAGTGAGCCTGTGGGATGATTTTTACCTTCTGTTGTGGCAACCAGGGCACCTGTACTCTTTGCACCTGTCAGGTTACAACACGGTTACACAAGGCTGTTTACCACACTAGAGAAAATTGACCAAGACAAGGAGATGGTCTCAGGCTTAGTTAAGTTCAGGGGAAAGATGCAAAGTTCAGGAGTTCCTTTTGACTGTAGACGACGACTGTGGAATGACGCGTGTGAGGTGGTGTGGTTTACAGGAAGAAGCGTGTAGTCATGAGCTATGGAAACTGGGGTAAGTCTTAACTTCCCTGGGCTCAAATCCTTCATCTGTAAAACTTTCATTCAGATGGCCTGAAGAGAGGAAATAATGCATGCTTATAAAGAGACTACAGCATCGAAGGCCTTTAGGACATGTTACTTCTTATTATGGAGAATCTGAGAGATGATGAAAGAAGAAATAAAAACCACGGGCTACCGACACTGGTCAAGTCGACAACAAAAACTCAAGGGGGGGTCCATACTATCTAATGGTGGGATAGCCCAGACACTGGCTTAGGTTACCCCCGATTCCAGCTTATATCTCAGGACCCTCCCGGGGGATCTCCATGCTTTTACGTCCTCCATACATCAGCGCCTCTGTGCTCTCTGACGTTTGTATGTGCCATTTTGTTTCTTCTAGAATCAAGCACAGAAACATGGTTCCCACAGCAAACCCAGGTGGGTCTCACCACTTCCCACCTGAAATCCTGACACATTCAGCATTTTCCAAATTCGGTAACTTTGCTGAAAATTTGAAGGGTTGTCGGGAAGATCCCACATGGTACGAAGTAGCTTCCTGCTCTCCTGCTGTCTTCACCTTTGTACTCTGCTCCTTTCCAAAGCCTGCACTCCTTGTGACCCAACGCTTCATGCTTAACTCCTTGGCTTCTCTCATCAATGGCAGGCCAATCTGGGACTTTTCTCTCTAGTAAGCTGGTAGGTACGCCATAAAATATATTTATATATATTTTTTAAGCTGCTCTTAGACTTTGGGGACACCCTGTTGAAGGAACATGCCAAAAGGCAGCACCTAAAATTTCATCAGGGCTCCTAGATGTTTAACTTGTCACACCCACCTGCTCATCTGCTCACTTCATGGGCAAACTTGGAAGGCAGACTGCACTAATATACCTGAAAACAATGTTTCTAAGGTAAGCACCCACGCCACAGCACATCTGGGAACATTTCATCACACACGCACAGATGAGTTTAACGACTGGGATGAGTAAACCATGGCAAGGAGATCCTGCAAAACACATACTTAAGACGTAGCTTGTATGTAATTATACTTCACTCCAGACCATGGGATTTCGTACTTCAAAAGTGACAGCCCTGTAATCCAGTTTTAAGTATTTT